GAAAAGCCAGCTGATAGCCTTATGGGAGTTCCCTTGTATGTAACCTGTTGCTTTTCCCTTGCTACTTTTAATATTCTCTCTTTATCTTTCATTTTTGCCATTTGAATTACAATGTGTCTTAGTGTTTTCCTCTTTGGGTTGATCCTGTTTGGGACTCTACCTTTCCTGGACTTGGATGTGTCTTTCTTTTCCCAAGTTAGGGAAGCTTTCAGATGTTATGCCTTCATATATGTTCTCTGCCTCTTTCTCTCTTCTCCTTCTGGGACCCCTATAATGTGAATATTAGTATACTTCATGTTTTCTCAGAAGTCTCTTAAACTGTCCTCATTTCTTTTTTTTTTTTTTCTTTTTTCTGTTCAGTTTCAGTGATTTACACTTTCTCACTCTGTTCATCCATTCTTCTCTAAGCTCTTTGGTCATCTTTATAATCATTACCTTGAACATTTCATTAGGTAGACTGCCTCTCTCCACTTCACTTAGTTCTAGGGTTTTATCTTATTCCTTCATTTGAAACATATTCCTCTGTTGCCTCATTTTGCCTAATTTGATGTTTTTATTTTTATGTCTCTGGTAGGTTGGTTATGTTTCCTGACCTTTGATAAGTGGTTTTTTGTAGGAGACATAACTATGCATCCCAGCAACACACTCCCCTCTGATTACCAGTGTTATATGTTCTAGGGTTGTCCCCTATGAGGGTTGTGTGGGTCCTTCTGTTGTGGCAGGCTGACACCTGTGGGCAGTTTGGTAAGCATGGCTGGCCCTACGTTCAGTTGGTTGCCAGGCCCTGCCTTGTGCAGAGGCTGCCAGCTGCTGGTTGGTGAGGCTGGGTCATGGGGTGGCTGTCTGTGGAAACCTGGAGAGTCCTGGGGCTGGTGCTGGCTCAGTTGTGGGCAGAGCCAGGTTCTGGGGTGGGTGGTTGCAGGGCTGGGGTTCCTGGATCTAGTCTCATCCTGCTGGTGGGTGTGGCCAGTTATTGACATGGCCGGCTGTGGGTTCTGGGGTGCCCCAAAGCTGGTGCTGAACTGATGGTGAGTGGGGCTATGGCCCAGTGGGTCCTGGGGCTGTTAAAAGCCTGCTGATGTGTTGGCTGTGTCCTGACAAGACAGGGGCAGGGCTGCAGTGGTCTTGGGGCTGGTGTCCAACCACTGGTATGTAGGTTCAGGGTCCAGGAGATCCTGGGGTTGGTGTCCACCGACCAGTGTGTGAAGCTGGGTCCTGGGGCTATGCCGGCTCACTGGCAGACAGAACATAGTACTGGGGTCTCTGACTTCAGGGCCCAGGGGTTCCAGAGCTGGCATTAGGCTTCTTGTGGGTGGGGCCAGCTGTGGGGTATGCATTGTCCCAAAGCTTGTGTCAGCTCTCTGGTAAGAGTAGCCAGATCCTGGAGTGGCTGATTGAGGGGTCCAAGGTGTTGGCCTGTGTTGGCCTGCTGGTTGGCAGGACTGGGGCCCAACGAGCTCTGGGGCTGGCGTCAGCTTCCTGGTGTATTACTAGGCTCTGACAAGCCAGGGGTAGGGTTCTGGTGATTTCAGAACTGCTTTCTGCCTGCTAGTGGGTGGGTGGGGCCCAGGGGGCTCTGTGGCTAGTGCTTGCCGCCTGGTAGGTGAAGCTAGGTCCCAAGGTTTCTGGCTGTAGAGCCCTGGGGGTCCCAGTTCTGGTGCCTACACACTGGTGTGTGGAGCAGTGTCCTGGGCCTTCTGGTGGACAAGGTCATGTCCAGGAATGGCTGGGGGCTTAGTGGATGTTAAGACAGCCTGTAATTGGTGGGTGGGGCTGTATCCCCACCCAGCTAGTTGCTGGGCCTGAGGCGTCCCAGTACTGGTGCCTACAGGCTGGTGGGTGGGGGCAGGGCAGTGTCCCAAGGGTAAAAAGCTAAAGGGAGGCTTCCAAATGGCACTTGGCTGCATCAGTGTCCACATGGTTGAGCAGCTCCCCAAAATAGCTGCCACCAGTGTCTATGTCCCTAGAGTGAGCTGCAGTTGCCTCCTGCCTCTCCAGGTGACTCCAAAATTAGTGGGTGCTTCTGTGAATTGAGCTTTTATCACTTAATGTGCCCTGTACTTTCCTACCTTTGTTCCTGCTCTTTCTTTTACCTTTTCTGATATCTTCTGTACAAATTCTTTTTCAGAGTCCAAATCAACTGCCACCTTTTCCTAGGAATCTTGCTTCTTCTTCCAGTCAGAACTGACATTTCTGTTTCCTTAACAACCAAGACCCCCTTGTTTCTGTTCTGTCAAAGCACTAATAAATCCACTTTGAGTACATGTGAATCAATGAAGTTATGATTTCATTAATGAAAAGACTCAAACATTTATTAAACTCCCATCCACCAAAGGCTGGTCCTGCAATATTCATTCATGCTTTTAGCCTAGGTTTGCCTCTTCCCAACACTTTTTCTGTATACAGCTGCTACGGGGAATCTGTTCTGGAACATGTATTTCCCCCACCAACAAAACTATTCAATGACTCCTTGCCTGCAGAGGAAGTTAACTGCTTGGTGCCACATTTCTTGTCTTCTGGCACCTGTCTCATCTTACCTGTTGCTATCTTTACCCTGTACTTGAATTTTCCTAAACAAAAAATTACATACAGTTCCATGAACATGCGTTAGTTTACACAGGTGGACTCTCAGCTTAGAAAACCCTCCATTCAACTTCTCACCAAGCTCTTCTTCTTCATGGAGACACTGTTTTCTCATTTAGCCATCTCTACTCCACCTACCCCGACAAACACAGCCTCCCTGTGCTGTCTCTGCTCTGGATGGGGTAGAAAGTGTTCACCCATCTCCCAGCTTCCCCAAGTTCAGCTATTTTAGGCTCTCACACTGGAAACTATTATGGAGACTGGTCCAACCCTAAGGTTATGTGGAACTGTGGTGCCCTCTACTGCTTTCCAGAACTATAACTACTTTGCTTTCTGTCATTCAATACAGGGGAAATGCTAAAGGAACAAATGGGAATTCAGCTGATAGACCATTATTTTTCAGGGCAAACATTGAATTCCATATTAAAACAAACATTATGAAATGGTAATATATAGTCTTCTAAAATGTGAATTTCTATAAGGTTATGATATGCCTTATTATTTCACTATCCTTTCAGGTCCATCTGACCTAAGGCTGTTATATGTTCATAAATATGGAGAGACTGGGTTACCATTTCATCTCAGGGAGAAGGTAAATATTTAAGCCACATGCTTAAATACAATTTTAAAGATTAGCTCTTAGTAAACATAGTTCCGTATGTTCAATAATATGTACTGAAATTAAACTAATAGGAAAAACATGGAAATTTAAAAAATAATTCATCAAAAGAACATAAATTCTCCTATAGTTGATTTCATTGATTAAAATAATATTGTTAAAAATTAGTATCTGTAATTCTTACTAATCCAAAATAATCCCTGGTTTATCTACATTTTTACAAAAATTACTGAATGACTTTGGTAATCTCTAAAGCTTTAGATTCACTAATTATTTGAACTCTTTGATTTGCCTTATCCTGGGAAAAGAGTAGCTGTCACTGGTATCTCCAAACCTAGAATTCTAACACTTAGTAGGGTAAATTGTATTGATTCTGATTGTTTTTAATTTAATGATTTTGACTGTCAATGAACTTTATCTTAGTGTATGACTTTTGAGAAATTATAAAATAAAGAAATGCCTGTGTTCAATTTATTCATTTTAGAATCAGAAAAGCCTTTCAAATGAGCATCTTACCTAATTTATATTTCATAAAGAACCACTAGAATCTGAGTTATTTAATACTGTGACTAACTGTATTCTCAGAATAACACTTCCTTATATTTGCAACATTTATGTATTTTTATGTCCTGTTCCTTAAATATATTTACAAGTTGTTATTTTTGGAAAATCTTAGAGTTTTGGAAAGTGCAAAAGTGCCGGCAGTTAGCTTAGATTTGGAATACATGGCATTAATCATAACTGAAGAACAGAGTGACTTCACACACTGAAAGATTAAAGATATTTTCTGGGGGAGAGTTAGAAATTTGCCTTTCTCACAATTATTCTGTTAAAAATGATTGTAAACAACTCAGTGTCACAAAAGATGTGGAAATAATAGTACACTGCCCATCATGTTCTTGCTGGTTTTACTTTAAATCTTGAACATCTCCCCCTGGGTGTTCTCATAGCCAAGAGGCAGCCGCCTCCTGAGAAAACCAGATGCTGCCATCTTAAAACCAGGACTGTGCTTGCTTTTGCACCCCTATTCCGCCCAGGCGTCATTAGTGCCAGCCTCACCTCTTGGAGTGGGCACACTGCGGCAGAGACAGACACGATCCCAATAATGAAATCTCACATGTGCGTGGGTGCAGGAGGCAGTGCCCTGCACCAGTGTCCACGCCCCAGACCCGTTCTCAGGTCTGCAGACCCCAGGGTCCCTTGCTACTGACAAGGCGGCTTCTTGTCCAGAAAGGGAACTTCCTAAAACGCCCAAATGTATACTGCAATTAGGTAAGTGTTTAATTCTAATTAATCCAATTTTACTCTGACTTTCCTTCCCGTAGCGATGAATTACAGATTTTAAAAAGTAGCCTCACAAGCTAGCTTCTTTCTAAAGCGAGGAGCAGATGCGGACACAGAGGCCTGCGTGGAGAACTGCGGGAAGACTGAGGCCAAGCCAGTAAGGTGCTCAGGGCTGGCCCTGAAACAGGAAAGCTCTCAGAGAAACGGCCTCCGGCGGCTGCCTGCTGACACGCCCTTTCCATCTCAGCTCTGAAAAGAGGGACCGGTGCTTATTACAAGAGGCATCGATATTCTCCCGCAGGCTACCAAGAAACTTCATCGGAAATATGGCCTATCCCAAACCTGGCCCAGCCGCGGGCCCGGAGCCCTCCCCCTCCGCTGAGCCGGCCCGAGGCGAGGGCGCATTTGGTGAGAGTCTGGCGGCCTCTACCGGAGCGCCTCTGCAGAGGAACGTTCCCCAAAGCCGGAGACGACATGTGGCGCTCGGGCGAGGTGAGAGCGAGCGCGCGAGTGCACTGGGGACGCGGGGGGGTCGGGGGGCGGAATCTCTGCAGCAGGGCAGAGCGCGGCCTCGGTCGCGGAGCGGAGCCGCAGGGCGGCGGCGGGAGCGCGGGGGGCACCGGAGCCTTTCGGCCCGGGAGGACTGGGGAAGTTCGCGCTGGCGGCATGGGGCGGTGACGCCGCACTGGCCTTCCGCTCTTGCCAGCCGGTTGAGAGCAGGCGGAGGAGGAGGAGGATGCATCCTCGCCGACGGCTTGCCTTCCCGGGCCGGCGCGCAGGGTAAGCCCGGGCGCGCGGGACCGGGGAAGTGGGGTAAGAAGCTGCGGGCGAGGTCGAGAGGACGGGCGGCCCCGGCTCGGTCCGCACCCCTATCCTCGGGACTGCCTGGCTTGGGAAGGCAGGTGGAGACAGGCGGGGAGCCACGGGCGGCCGGGAGCGCAAACTTTCCCCCGGCGACTGCGGAGGCATAGACAGCGCGGGAGGTCAGGGGGGTCCAGAGCGGCGCAGCCCCGCGGGACGGGGCACCAGGGTTCAGTGCCCACGGGCTCGCCGGTAGGAATTGGGGCGTGGGGCATCCGCCGCCGTCACTGGAGCCGACGGGCGAGATCGCCCATCCGGAGGGCCCCGTCGGCCCCAGGCCTTCGAGGCGCGCAGCGTCCAGGAGCTTCCTGCAGGGTGGGCGCCGGCTCGGCGGCGGGGGGCGCGGGCGGGTCGCGCGGGCTGCTCGGGACGGGGGACACCAAGCCGGCACTGCACCGCGCGCTCCTCTCCGAGAAAGAAAGCGCCGCCCGGCAGGACGCTCCGCTCGGACCCGGGGCAGGAGCCGGGCAGGTCTGCTGGGGCCAGAAGCTAGCCGGGGAGGGTCGGCGAGCGTTTGGCGCTGGGCGCGCCGCTGCGGACCGGGCAGGAGGCCGACCCTGCCGAGCCGCGGGCACCAAGCCGGCGGAGGCTTAGCCTCCGCAGTGCCGCCCCCGCGCCCACCAGCTCCCGCGAGCCCCCGCGGCGGTCCCGGGACCGTGGGAGCGCAGCCTCTCTTTGGGGGTCCCGGCTCTGGGCTGAGGGCAGCAGGAGGCGCCGCCCCGGTTTCCCGCATGCAGCGCCGCCTGCTCGCCGCCGGGACTCTGGCCCGGGTTTGGCGACAAGCCCCAGGACGCGCCCAGGAGACCCCCGCCCTGCCTTTCTCCACTCGAGGGCCTTGGATTCTGAGGTGGAAGTACCTGTTGTGTGTTTCCCTTTTCCGGAGTTGGCCTGGGGTCGCCTCGGGAAAATGTTTCTTTTGAACATGCAGTGCTCCTATAGGATGTGCATCTATTTGCGTTATGCGCATATTGAGAAGTATATGCCTTCGCTAAGGTTAGTTGCAGAGCCCAGGGATTGTGCCTGCTTGGATTTCAAATGCATTAATTAGGGCCCAGCACAGAGCCCAGAGCCAAGAGACTTTCCCAAATGCAGTGATTATTAAGTTCTTCAGTCATGGGGACAGATTGCTGAGAAAGTGGCAACCCTCCCTTATAAGCAGTTCTTATATTATCTTGATCTTGTAGAAGACCTGTTTCTTAAATGTGCCTTTCCCCCCCTCTTTTCACATACTTTCTCTCAGCACCTTGCAGAACAAGGAGTAGCTTGCTGACTTTGAACACGTGGCAAATATTTCAGAAAGGTAAAAGTATTCCACTTGTGGATTTGACAGATGCAAAATACAGTTAGATAACTTCAGGCATTGAATCTAATAATAGGACTAATGGGTCATTTGATAACATGGTAAAAATAAAACAAAGTATTTGAGGCATGGGAAAAAATTAATTAGGGGAATGATTCTGCACCTTGAGTAAAAGTGAAAATTAAGCCTACTGTAATTTCCTTTTATGCCCCAATAAAAAGGCCAGTGAACACAGATAACTCCTGATGTGGAGCCGTGCTGCACAAGCACAGCCAGGCTCCTTTCTTTCTGAACTGTGTGTGTTAGCAGTGTGATTTGATTCCAGGAACTGCGTCACAGAAACATTCATGTTTATATATTTTTCCCCCTTTCAGCTTCAAGATCAAGGTTGAGAAAGGAACAGTTATTCTTCCAAATTCATCTGCTTCAGCTATTATTCTTATTGGGAATGGACAATGGAATGTTCTCTAGCTTTATCATGATCAAAAACCTCCTTCTGTTTTGTATTTCCATGAACTTAGCCAGTCACTTTGGGTAAGTTATCATCTATGCTTTGATTTTACGATTTTCGGGGCACAAGTGCCTTTCAGAAACTTTGCTGAGCAGTATATTAGCAAACCCTCGCTGGCCACCTTTGCAGTCCCACACCCTTGAACTTGTTGTAAATAAATAAAAGAGTCCTTGCCCTACCCCACACTTTATTCCTGAGCAAGGCACTTGGAATAAAGACACTTTATTCCTTTATTCCAAGTGTGGGGTTTCTGAAGTGAGTCAGAGAAAAGAGGCAGATTATGTTTTCAAAAGTGGAAGAAGATGGTTTCAGAGTCGGCTGTGTTTCCTCCCACTCAGGTTAAAGCACGATTCAGAAGTTGACCTGCATAAAGGACATTTATTTCTTGTTAGACAAGGCAATGATCAGCATTCTGATTGCTCTCCTTGGTGCCATTATGCAAAGGAATTTGCCTTTAAATCCAGGTCCACACTAGGTGGCACTGACAAGGACTTGCAGTGGTCCTGGCTTGAGCCATAGGCCTTGAACTGTGGCCATCTGAATGCAGAGGCAGATACCAGAAACTACATGTGCCTGAAGATCTGCAGGACACCCAGGCATTTGGCGTTATCAGTTCCTTTCCTCTTCTTCCCCAAATTGTTCTGGCTGATCAAAAGGATTGTCACTTGAAGTTGGTGGAGTATAATTAAGAAGTTAAATTTTAGGACAAAAGTCGCCAAGCACCCCTTCTGTGAAAATCAGCTGTGGAGGTTGCACTTGTGTGAAACATGGAGGGATCTTCAGGGCACAGTGAATCTGCAACAGATCCCTACTAGTTGGCAGGAAGGAGGACCCTTCCAAGTCCATGACCTTCTCTCTTTGTCCTCTGGACATTTTCTGTTCTTTTGACATTCCCAGGTGTGTACAGAGGAGGAAACAGAGAGAGAGAGAGAGGCTTGTGACCATCCCCAGGTGTGTGGCTGGTACATGACGGCAGTGGGGCTGTGTACCAGGTCCGTCAGGGACTAGTCCAGCCCTCAGCACCGTGAGGAATGTGCACATTAACCATGCCTGTAGGACATGCCTCTTAGCCACTCAGGGTATTCCCTTGGGAAAGAGCATTAGTTGTTATTCTTGCCTTGCTGCTTGTCTTGAGTGGTTATTTCCCTACCTGTGCCTTTGGTTTCCTTATCTGTTCAGTGAATGTCTTCCTTTCCAAGGGCTCTCCCTGCTGCTAAACCTTATAGGATTTAACCATGATGTTCCTACATATATCTGCATGAGAAGTGTGTTTAGAAGTGAAATCATACACAATATTTAAATTTCCAAGTTAATACATTAGGTAGTTAATTTGCTTACTATATATACCGCATATATTTAGCAGTATTTCAGAGGTAAGAAATAGGCTAGGATTGAGAACATGTATTTTTTTCTAAGATTTTGGTCAGATATATTTTTGTGAATCTGCATTCTGTAGTCACGAAGGTATTATACTATGGTGGATGAAAGTCTGAAATATGAAGGAATGTGCATACCGAGTTTAGCCATTAGAAGCAGCTATACTTTATTTCTTATTTAATTTGATGACTTTCTGAGGTCATCTTCAAAACAGAGATATATCTGTTAGTTTCTGGAAGCTAATACAGAGCAAGTGGTAGAATATCCCTCAATCTCCCTAGAGAATTAGCTGTTGGAGAAGTTTTGAATCTGTTAGATATAAGCTCAATAGTCCATCCCAAAACGATACCTACTGACTGCAGAAAATGCGTGAGACACAGAATAGTATGTGAAAAAGAAAAACATCCTTAATTCCACCACACAGAAACAATCATTCTTCATATTTTGGTGTGTTTTCTTCCCCTTGCTTCTATGCCTAGCTTTATACAGTTGGGATCATACTGTGCCTTCAGTTTTGTGCTTTTGTGCTTTCTTCATGCCAATACTTTGTTACTACAAACTCTTTGAAATGTATGATTTAAAATGGATGAATATTATTACAGTGCATAAATGATTCATCATAGGCTACTTCCCTAATTTGGGGTGTTTACATTGTTTCCGATTGTGCTGTTATTGCATTTTCCTGCACTGAACATATTTGGCTTACAATTGTTTTAAGTATTTGAGATCATTTCTATTAGAAGATCTTCCTGTAAGTGGGATTTTACGTCAGCTCCCCTGAGTACTTTTAGCTCTTGGTCCTACATGTCCAGTTGCTTCTGAGGACCAGGATCTGCAGCAAAGCAGGAAGCCCAGCAGGGTGTGGTTTTCAACAGAAGACATCTTGACATCTGGGGGCACAAGTCCCTATTTATTTCCCTTCTTATACAAGGCTCCTTTCACTTGCTTATTACTATAAATGAACTTAAGAATAATTTTGTCAAATTGCAAAGAAAGTTTCAGAACACTTATTTGGCTTAAAACCTTGACAAAATAACAGCTATCGCAATATGGAGTGCCTATTTGTTATGTTGTCTGTTTTAGATAAACCCTAGGAGGAGCCTTATGAGCTAAGCATCATTAGCCCTGTCTTATGGTCGGGAAGGCAAGAGTAAAGGATGGCTAACTGGGGAAGTTCGCCAAGCCGGTCATGCTGGAGTTCCGTCCTCAGCCCTCCTCAGAGTGAACCTGCCTGGTGGTCCCCTCTTGATTTCACGTGGTTTGCAGGGAAGGTCTAAGTCAGACTGATCTATAGAGGAAGGAGACGTAATTTTGAAAGGTATTCTCTGCATTGGAGTAGAGAGAGTTTTCTGTTCTGAAATTACAGGAAAAAAGTGTTTGGGTAAGCTCTGTTATTTCCCACAAAGAAAGAGTTTATGTGATTTGGTTCTAAAGAAAGGTGAACGGAGAAGCATGTAAGGCCTTAATTTGAACATTGTGGGACAAGAGAAATGCTGATGCCTGTAAATACATAAAGGAAACCAGACAACTTGTGGAGGGTTAGGAGGGTGACAGGAAACCAGTCAGGGAGCAGAAGGAAAGAGGCAAGTACACGTGTGCTTTTGTGCAGTACAAAGTTATACCCAGTATTTGTGAAAAGCATGTGGATTTGGCAATCAGGAAATTTATAAATGTGATATGTAAAATGTATTTTACTGTGATTATATAAGATAATGTGAAATTGTTTTGAAAATATATGAGTCTCATTTCTTCTCCTTCTTCTCCCTTTTATTTTCTAAATTTGATCAGAGCCACCAGTAGCTCATTTTCAGTAGCCTTTGTAATTCTTCTGTTAGTTTTAAGTTATATAACAGAGCATGAGTCAAGTGTATAACAGAACAGAGGCCTATTTGACTGTCAGCCTTATGCAATGTCACGTTTAGAGACATGGTTTAATTTGAGGCATTATAATTATTTTAATGAGACCAGTAATCAAATGTACATGGTAAAAAAAAAACTAGCACAGAAATAATAACAATGTCTGAATCAATGTAATGTCAAAATACATAATATTAAATTTAATCTGGAATTAGTTTATCATCATTTGAAAAATCACACTTTATCAGACTTGATTGACCAGTGATAATTGTAAGATAAATTTGAGAATTATCAACTCAATAAGGTAAAATCTGATTCCATTCATTTAATAGTATTAAATATTTTTTAGAGGTTTATCTATTGGAAAATTAAAAATGCATTAGAATTTTATCACATGGGAACTACAATTCAAATAGACTTTGGAAAACAGTATTTTATAATTGGCAATTATAGGCAGATTCTTGTAGAAGTAGCTTAAGAACAGGAACAGATAAGGTTCTTCTTTATCTGTCTACGCAGGTGTGCTAACCAGGACCTTTGGTTTCATGAAGAGGGCTTTTTCATACACGTTCTCAAGGACAGTTTTCTTCTTTTAACTAGAGCAGAAAGTATACTCTCTCTGAGTCATTTAAGTACTCACAATGTCTTTTTAAATGGCAAGTTCTCTCTTGTGAATCCCCAGATGGCAAGTTCTTCTTGCCTGTAGCTGCTGGTTCACAAGACCCAGGAAAAAAGTCATTGTAACAATTGTAAAAACACAGAGAAGTGCTGTGAAGCAGTTAGGACACACACAGGTGAGGGGGCGTCTAAGTGGAGGCTGCAGAGATGGCCAGAGATCTCACATATAGTAAACACTTTAGGTGACTAAGATCCTGCTACAGAGTAATGCCCAATATTTTTTAAGGCACCAAAAGAAAATACTTCCAAATTACACACTTTGTAGAAGAAACTCTTAGCAGGTTTATCATGCCAACAGGCAGTGAGCTAAGACAAAGCTTAGAAGGACAGTCAGCCAGAGTCGACCCAGCCAGCCCTGTCTGGCCATTAGCTCCAAGATGAGTCACTGGCTTGGTTCAAGGGGAGAAGGAGAATGTGGGCTTTTGGATTTTTATAAAGGTGCAATTGCATAACATGCATATTTTAATTGGTGTGAAATTTCAAAGGAAAATATTAGAATCAAAAGTAGAAAAATCTTATCATAGAACTATGGTGGCAGGAAAAATAATTATCAGTGTTTACATGAGTATTTCTCCTTCATTTCCAGAATGCATTTTCAAAAAAATGTACTGTTTAATTTTCACAAAACCCTCACTTTTTAGGTGAAAAGAGCTCAGGTGATAGAACACAGAGAAACATGTCTAAGTTTCATCATTGGAAAGTAGAAAAGTCAGGATCCATCTCTAGGCTCAGGGCCTGGGCTAGCACCCTCCATGCAAGACCTTTTCCAGAATGTCTGGATATTTAAGGTGCAACGAAAAGGGATAGAATGGGGGAAAATCTATACTTTGAAATGTCCTAACCTAGAACTCAAATAACACTGCTCTAAAGATAGTTGGTTTATCGTAGCCTGAATAAAATCAAATACAAAATATGTACTATGAAATATAATGTTATAGAGAGGGAACCATATTATAGGAAAATTAAGATATACTATGAAACTGGCTTTAGCAGTTCATTGAAAATTCTGTTTTATTTGTATTTATTTAACAATTTATTTCAAGGTCAAAAGGCAAACCTAAACATAAATGAAACCCAGGACAAGTTCATTTTCAGTTTTAACAACAACAGA